GTCACTCAAGACAAGGGCAATCAGCATCTAAAATATGAACGTTCTGTCCTGTATCGTATTTTTGTTTTCCTCTGACAATATGATGGATAGGGAACGCAATGATGAAAGCTTTACAGCAGCTCATTAATTGTAAAATTCATCTACCTTTTCAGGACCTAGTACTGTGGTCATCGTACTCTTTTTCGAGCCAGTGTCAGTTCCTATAGACATTAATTCAGGATCTCCTGGGTGTTGATAAGGATCTTTTGGATGACGATTGGATCTTCTAGATGCTAATCAGAATCCAATGATTGTGATCCAAGGAGACTGTGATGGGCGTCTAAATGTCACCACACGAAAAGGAGCAAATGCCGTGAGTCTCTGAAGTTATTCTTTTTTTCGCTCTAGTACTTGGTCTTGTTTGTGTTCGATGCAGAATTGAAATTGCTGATCATGATATTATTGATTAAACGGACAATAAAAATGTTATACACTCTTCAAAAAAGAAACGCATAAGCCAATTTTAGAAGCATTTATTGCGTTAATTTAAGAGCAATTAGTTCATGTAATTTCAATGGTAAAAGGGTGAAAATTCACACCTCTCTCGACAAAGAGTTCAACACAACAGCAGTCTTTATTGTGTTTCTTGTTACTTGAGTCCACTAGATGGCGTCAAAGTCAGTAACAATTACTGATCGGCACCGTCTCGGTACAGACTGGATAAGTCGACGAAGTCGCGCTTACGAATCCCCATTCTGCCTGCAATGCGATGGCCAGTTGTGGAAGTGTCTGAGGCGTGTTTTGACGTTGACGTACACGTCGATCGAGTTCATCCCATAGGTGTTCTATCGGGAAGGCCATGGCAAGACACTGACGTTAGAAATGGCAAGGTAGCGGACCGTGACAGATAAGACCTAAACTGGAATACATAAGAATTTTATCAGACAGGTGTTGGTTATCAATATCAGCACATCTTTGATGAAACTGTTTCAAGAAAATATCATTACTAGCTACTCTTTTTGTATTCCAAACATACCCATACATACCATAACCAAACATACCAAAGCCAAATTTATAATAGTAATTTCTTTTTACTAGTAAGTGCCCAAGAGTGTTTTTTTCCACTTTCTGCTAAAGGATATTGATACAGATACATCTGTTTTGAAATAACAGTTGCACCTTGTTGCACATATTCTCAACCAATATTTAATTATCTTAGATTGTTTTTAAGAATATCTACTTAATTCACTTCTGGCAACTTTGTTTGGCTATGTTCCACTAAATCCTAAAATTATTTTTACAGTATCTATCATGAACATTTAAAACATACAATGAGTCATGAAAACCCCATATGGGAAGAATTTTCAAATCAAAGATATGTAAAAGAACCTTCACAGGTAATGACGCAAAATCCAGCTTTGCTAGTAGGTCACAATACTCGCGCAGACGGACATTTTATTAAACCGACTGAGACCAAAAACCTCGTCAGAGATAATTAACTCTGTACTCTCAGATGAGTGTGTAAACTAGGCGTGGTTCGTAAATGTGCACTGTCGTTTGTGGACCTATGCTCCAAACTTGTTTCTTGTTTCTTGTACCTTACAGGTACAGTACCTACAGACGTCCTAGGTTTCCTTCTATAGACCTGGGGCGGTGTAGCCTAATGGTTAAAGCGTTGGCTCGTCACGCTGACCTACCCGACGTCCCCACATGGCTTCCCATTTCTATAGTCCCCGCCGTGACCTAAAAGGGCGTAAAAAAACTGCGGACAGTCTATAGACCTTGACCTAAGGTAGGTAATGCGGACAAAATTCGTTATTCACGGGTTAATCGTTATTCATTAGTTATGCCCAGTCGTGACGTTAATCCAAGTAACACCAGAGGTCAGTCAGTAAAGAAAAAAGGTGTCCGTAATTGCCTACTGGCAAAGCTGAGTTCGACCGATTACATAGTAGCATTTACAAACATACACATATTTAAAAATTGACAGAACCCACTAAATGTACATTTAGGACTGTATAGTTAAGACGTCAAGAAGAAAATTGTGAACAAAAGAGAAAAAAACAAACAAACATTTAGGTTTTTTTAGTTGTAAACTATTTAAGGTATGAAAGATGAAATGATCGTTGTCCCGATACAGAGGATCCGGGGCAGAATAGCTCTTCAGCAACCCATGCTTGCCACAAAAAGCGACTATGCTTGTCGTAAGAGGCGACTAACGGGATTGGGTGGTCAGGCTCGCTGACTTGGTTTACACATGTCATCGGTTCCCAATTGCGCAGATCGATGCTCATGCTGTTGATCACTGGATTGTCTGGTCCAGACTCGATTATTTACAGACCGCCGCCATATAGCTTGAATATTGCTGAGTGCGGCGTAAAACTAAACTCACTCACTCACCCGATACAGAGCATCTTACGCTTCTCATTGATGATGCTCCATAGTAAATACTGGGTAAGTTCGGGTTCAGGTCTTCCAGTCTGGAACTATGCCGGCGATATGGCACCAGCCGACAGGGACATCAGTAAACCCCGATACCCAACTCTGACACAATATGTACACTGCCCACTACTCCTTGTTGTATGTTAATCGTGGACGCCAGACAGGGAAACAACAAGTACCATCTGTCAACTCCTTGTTCTTCTGATTCGGACATCATCCAGGGACTGCGTGTCTCCGGGCACTCTCCCCGTCTGCTGAACATGTAATCGTGACAGCGTTCATCAATATCCTCTTCTAGCCTGATATCAGAACTCATCTCATGAAGAGCAGCTGACGAAATTATAGCGCAATTTAACTCTTTGGGTTTGTTGTCCCCATTGTCAAAATAAGGACAATGAATGAGTGACCGTTAGTAAAAACATTGACCTATGTCTTTTGCAGTTGTATCTTCTCAATATGAACACATGAAGAAGAAATTACACCATTACATGTCACATGGTATTGGCAGACGGTCATCGCACCAAAGCAGCCGCTAACTTGAGTAATACACACTTGTCAGATAGAAATATATTTTGTATTTCATCCATGATATGAAAACTACACAAAAGTTAACTAGAAATAGCAGTAGCTGTATGGCAGCAGATGATTCTCACTACATACTGAACACTACATTACTATAACAATTGTAATTTGCTTAAATGCATGCTTTTTATAGCTTTTCTGTACATGGTCACTTGACCATCATAGAGAGACTCGTTCTGAAACATGGCGCCTACGTAACGCCACATGTGCTAACCTTGGAATGAAGGTTACATGGAGGAATAACACATTACAACAGTGACGCACATCGTTATGTGCAACCTACAGTGAGAACCATTTGCTGCCATACATTACAATCTAACCTTGTTTTGCACTCTGCTGGCATACTTTCCAAGTAATAGAGATAAAATAGACCGTCTTCATCTTCCCATAGTTCTACAAACAGCTAACATCCAGTAAAACCGCACATTCTGTTAAAAGGAGGTTGATCTGGCACGACATAAATCGTGTTTAACAATACCGTTAGTAAATGTCCCAAAATGAAGACCTCATTGAAGATGATACTATGCGTGCGAGCGCAGCAGCATCACCACAGTTTTCAGGATGGTATAACCTTGTCCTAAAAGCGTGAACAATTCCCTTTATTGACAACAACGCACTGTGAATAACTATATTCCGCTTTGTAGGAGCGTCCATTCAATTACTGTGAATGCATCATCCAATAGCGGTCTGCAAAATGAACGTTTTGTTGTCATACCATATTGAAAATATATCTCATATCCTCATATCGTTACTAAAAACCTTTAAATAATATTTGACAAGACATAGAAAACACACGTTTGTATTATAGACCGGAACAATGAAGCCTTAGAACGTATAGTTCATCATGTCCTCTGTGTCTGTCATTGGTTCTGGTAACCAACCGTCAGGTCTTGTAATCAAGTACTGCAATGTATTTGTTACGTGCATGATTCTATATACCTGCGACATCTACATATATCTATTTCGTTATAAAATTGTCATTGTATTCACTGTTATCATGACATTAAGCCGTAAATACCTTCGAGTTTCACCGACAGTGTCATAGATATCTACGGCACGTTACGTTTAATTAAATCCAGATAGTGCTTTTTGTGTTTTTAATCATTAGCGCATTGTTTTGTAGACATCTAGTTGCTGTGGCCCTGTATGATACCTTGGAATTAATAAAACACACACACACACACACACACACACACACACACACACACACACACACACACACACACACACACACACACACACACACACACACACACACACACACACACACACACACACACACACACACACACACACACACACACACACACACACACACGTGTATGTATATACTTGCTTCATCTTACCTCACCCTGAGAACAGTTCGAGTCCACCATTCGGTAGGTTTTACTGACAGAGAGGGTCTGGAATCTGGTGTGCTTTGGTTTATGATGTTGGAAACAATATTGGGGAAAAAGGCAAAACTCACTGATCGATGACGTAAGATGGACTGTGGCTTTGTTTCTAAACATTACTTATGTGTAATGTCATTTCAGTTTTCATGAACATGAGTTCTTGAGATCAAACAGCCAATGCTAGGTTTTATGAAACCTTTACAGAAAACACGTGGGCGAGGACATACATCCTGCACCCTTACATCAGCATGGCGCTGATGGTGGACATCTGTTTCAGATTATTTACAGTAATCACCTGGCGATTCAGATTGATTTTGTTCTTGATTCAATCTGTTGAATAAATGCATACAGATAAAGACATGAGCAAGTCGAATACAAATGTAATCTGTATATCTGTGTCTCTCACCCGGACCAGTGGCAGTGTGGGTTTCTTGTTGCGTGTTGTCCCTTCGTAGAACTGTCAGCACGGAACACTGCGTTCCATATAAATACATGTATATTGAAAGTCTGGTTATTACGCTGTTATTGCTCACCAGAAGAACACATTGGACTCGTATGATCTTTAACAAAAGCAACGGTTTTCCATGATTACTACTGTTTTAAATGGCAGTTTTTAAACGGAACTCTGCAAACGTTGATTTCAATTCATCAGTGAAAGATGGCCAGGAAGCCATTTTCACAATTCAAGCTTACAGCAACTTGGCTTACCAGCCGGATGAGATTGAACCGGGTTCATCTACCACAGAAACAGCGGATTCTGGTGTTACATGCTCGTCAAATCGTCAGCCGTCTTCAGGTACTACACCTCCGCCGACTCTGAAGAAGTCCCTCAATCTCTTCCACTGTACAGCTGTCATGGTTGCCGTCACAGGAAACATCTCCATCTTTATATCAGCTGGCGCCATCGTAGGGTCTGCTGGATCCATTGGAGCCACCCTCGTCGTGTGGCTTGTAGGCGGACTAATCAACATGGGCATGGCATTGTGCTATGCAGAACTGGGTGCCATGTTTCCGTACGCAGGGGACATTATGCGTATGTCTTGAATGTCCTTGGTCCCTTGCCAGCGTTTCTGATAATGTATGGGCAAGTAACATTCATAGTAGGACCAAGCTGGGCCATTCAGGCCTACACATCGGCCTTGTATATCGCCAACGCCGTCTTCCCTGGCTGCGTGACCGAGGATGTTGAGTTAGGGATTAAGTTACTTGCTTGCTGGATCCTTGGTGAGTAATGACGACGTATTGACATAGTTCTAAATTACGAAGCTAATACAGTTAAACAATGACAAAGGACTTTGTTTTTCGAATCCAAAAACGAATATCAATATCACACAGCCACGGACATATATGAGGAAAAACATTGCATGTTTCATAAACGCACACGCACACGCATACATACACACATACATGACATTATTGGTTTGCATTGTCTAACCCTATACATATATACAGTCAAACGCCGGTTTTTCGATGTTGAAGGGACATCAGTAAATACTTCGAATTGTACGAGGTTTGACAAATGATGCCTTAATCATTACGTAGGGACCAAACTTGTACGTCGAAACGGTCGTAACTTCGACACATCGATGTTTGACTGAATATATACCCAAATAATAATTCGTTACCAAAGCTTCTTGTGAAAATTGTTTCCTTTATCAGGATGTTCTTGAATATATAGTTTTTGTTAAAGCATACTAACTCTCAAGGTGTGTACGTACGTGCCTCTGTTGATGAAGCTGCTCTGTTTTCAGTGACAGTGGTCGTCTTAAACTGCACGTTCATAAAGTTCGTGACCAAGGTTCAGACATTTCTGTCCTCTACGAAGATGCTTGCCCTCCTTATCATCATCAGTGGCGGCCTTGCTGTCTTCGTACAAGGTATGCATCAAGTGGATGAGTGTTGTTCAGTGCCGCTATACAATATTTGAGTCAGGGCAAGGCCAGCCATCCTAACAAGTCAGACAGTTTCAACTGTTACATTGTTACGCGACAAAAAAAAGTATCACAGAAAAACTGATAATTCTTCTTTATGGTGATTGTAATGATGCCTCCACGAAATGATTGTTCGAATGAGCTATTTGAACTATTTAAAGGTTGTGTCATCAATCGTTTGTCTTGTTTAGTCATGGTGGTAGTGTGGGTCCAGGGCATAGAGCGCAGGTAAAAAATCAAGTGAAGTTAAGCAACGTTGGTCACGGAGAATCCTTGGATGGGTGATCGTGTTTGGCAGCTTGGCTCCTGAGAGTTTCTAATACTTCAGTCATACCCCACAAGAAAGCACACTTGTGGTCACCCTTAGACAAAATTGCCTGTTCACCCAGCAGAAAATGGGTACCCGGTAGTATAAGTCGTATGACTATGAACCTTTTAGCGCCTCGCAGACAGCTTGGGTTATCCGGGGTAATAATGTCCACCATATTGTATGCGCTTAGAGCATGCCCCTGCGGCGTGGAGTTCACTGCTATGTAAGTGGCCAAATATAACGACCTGGATAAGTTACTTGTGGAAGTAACGCAACATGCCATCAGAGTGTTAATGTTTTACATTAACCATAGCAAAGGAACTTATCCAAACCTCACTGTAATTTACTGTCTGGATAAAATGGCCCCCAAGGAATAATTAAATGGAAAAGAACGAAAAACTGTAGCTAATTTATAGAAGCAAACGTAAATTGATTTATTTCGTACTACTGATAACTATGAGCATATGACGCTAAAATTTGCGGTATCAATAACCAGTCACTCCTTCAATACCTGGTCCTCCACTAACAGCAACACCATCCCTAACCCTCCTCCTCACTGATTGTAATCGACGTTGACTGGTGGCGGGCCGCGGAACAGTTGCTACTTGACGTGAAATATAACCAACGTACACGATCTGGCCCAGCATTGTCGTCCTCGAAGACTGGCTTTGTGTTCAGAGGATGGTCATCGAATTGTGGTACAACAACCCAGTCTAGGATACCAGTGATGTATCGTTGTTCATTCAGATTGTGTCTGAACGTCACAATGTCAAGTTTACAGTCACGTGAGAGGTACCCTACGCCTTAACTGAACTCCCACGAAACGGTACTTGTTCCATGATATCTCGTTCTGTATATGTAGTGTTTCTGCGGCGCCAAAGTTCGGCCATCAGTCATGAACAAAATATATCAAGTTTTTGTCAGACCAGCGGAGCCTTCCCCATAACCTGAAATTCCAGTGACGTCGAACTTGACATCAAACTAGACCTGCTGCTTTCTGATGTGGGGATAACAACGGACGTTGGACAGTCAGATAGATCGTCTGGCTTTAGACCTCGCCAATTTTATGAAGATTTCAAACAAACGACGATGTAGAAACCACTATGGCTCTAACACGCCACTTGAAACGAAGGGATGAAGGGTTGGGATTTTTAAAATGGCCTCATCCCCCCAAGCACTTGTCAACTGTGGTCTTCCTGAAAGCTGATGGTCGTAACGTCAATAGCTGTCTAGCCTATAGGCTGATAGTCGATGAATGGCACAATCATCTCATGCTGTTTCTTTAACCAATTCTTAGCAACATCTTCGGATACCTTGGCCGCAGTTTTTAACTGCTCCTTTCCCTTTTCAATATCCCCTGTTCGCTGTAGTAAATTTTATCCATTATTAATAGATAATGATATTTCCCTTTCATACACCGACAAATTTAGCGGGACATCATTTGTTGTTCCGCTAAATTGGGCCTGTTTTGTGGGCTCTGTGGGGGCAGCATTTGGATGAAAGGGTTTAAATATAGGGAGTGATCCCGTTTTGTCATTTCGTATACTTCTGCTCTCAATGACTTGCCAGTATTCCGCATCTCAATAACGTGACATCTTTCAGCAATTGTCAGTAGAGGCCCCATATTTTCTCATCAAAAACGAAATCAATCGATTTTTCAAGTTATTGAGCTGTAAGAACAGTTTACTAAAACTTGATATTTACTGAATGACGGGTTCACGCATTGCACGTGATGGTCGCCTTGATCATATCTGAACTGATCTGATACTGAACGTTGTTTCCTTCAGAATGACATATTACTCATTATCTTTAATAAACAAGGGACAAGTTGTTGACATCTGTCCATCCAGCAGTGAATGGCTAGGATGAGATGCAAGTAGTTGTTAACCTTCCGGCGCCTCACAGGTAGTTTATTTCCATGTAATTCGAGAGCACACAGACCCACTGGTCGAAGTAATGAATAATGAGCCTTGATAGCTATTCACTGAAGGAAGAGCGCCACATAACTGGTCTATTATTACATACAGCCATATAGAAACTTTGGAACTTACATATATTCTGTTGTTGACTGACAGGCAAAGCAGACAACTTTGAGAATATATTTGCTGACACCTCGAGAGAGCCGGGAGAGCTTGCTGTCACCATCATCTATACCTCGTTTACATATGGAGGATGGTGAGCTTTCTTCTCACAGTAACAAATTGAATCGGAAAAATATACTGTGGGGTGAATGTTTTTTCACCTCCAATTTAATCCACACACTGAAATAAATTGACTGCAGAAATGCAGCGCCAAACTGTCCATTTATACACGTTTCTAAAGGGCTGACCTGAGCTATCTGTGTTTCCAGGCAGGCCATGCTGTCATTGGCAGAAGAGGTGAAAAATCCTGGAAGGTGAGTGGAATCGTTATTGGTGTCTGGTTCTCAATGGTTTGTCGTTATTGAACCTTTCCCTCGATCATTTTCTACTTGGAGAATAGGCAATTTTGAACAAACTCAGTAGATTGTCTGGTTCAGACTTTGATATCTACATCCACAATAGCTGGTATACACTGAGTACGGCGTTAAACAAATCCCATAACAAATTATCGCTGCCAGAAGGGAATCAATGTACGTATGTGTGAATACACTGCGCCTTTCAGACAGAAGCACATGTATTTGACATTACACTGTCTTACTAAAGTACACATTTGAGTACACATTGAGCTGTATGTAGGAAGATAACCGATCTGATGAACATTCTAGACGTTTAGCTCTTTGATGAACCATACTGTGTTAAACATGTAAATGTTTCTAATGACCTATCACATTCTGTATCCATACACCACTCCGTGCCATCCTCTCTGTTGCAGAGATCTCCCAGGTTCAATATATATTGGCTTCACCATCGTCATCATGATGTATGTCCTGGCAAACGTCGCCTACTTCACCTTGATCAGCCCCGCTGAGATGTTGCAGTCGGACGTCGTGGCGCTGGTGAGCTGCTAAGGGTGATGTTTGATGCCTTGGTTACTTCGATACATAAGCTTCTTTGCCTTAAACTGTAGGAGAACTAACATGATTACACTGTCTTATAGCAGAATACAAAGGCATTTCAATTGCAAAGTTGAATTTGTAAAGTGTGTCATATATTTGGCATGTGTCATTGGGTATTATTTTAATTTAAGATACAATGTTGGTTAGCTGTGAGGGAACATTGTACAGTCAATTTGTACTGTGTACAGAACTTATCACTGCATGTCAGTGTAAACGTATGACGAACGCTAGAAATGAACGTTGAACAAACCGTCATGGTTCTGCAAACCAAGGCAGATAATCAGAGAAATTCGAACCCAGGATAGTTACATGCAGTGTCGTAACCTACTGGATCAACTCCCAGAATTCTCCATGAGCATGATGTTGACTGTGTGTATCCGTGAAATGCCTTGTTCGTTATTGCTTTCGAAGTGAAAATGTTTAGGATTTATCCACACATGAGAGTTGCTGTTGCTGAGAGCTCGTACATTTTTCTTTAATTCGATAAATGTTTTCCACAGATGTTTTCTCAGCGTCTGTACGTCCCCATCTCCATCGTCATCTCTGTCCTCGTCGCTACATCGTCAACAGCAGCCCTCAATGCTGCCGTTATGGGACATTCCAGGTGAGAAGCTGGAACACTGTCAGAGACACGCCCTGGTGGCGTGTGAGTTGACCTGGAACCCGGGATCTATGCTATTCCGTCGATCTTCTGATAGCGTGTCATCGTGTCCAGATGTACAGTATTACTCCTGATCTCAGTCACCAAACGGACAGGGTCAGAGTACTTACACCCTGACATCAAACACCTGGAATGTCGCTGATTGCGCCGTGAGACATCATGCACTCACTGATAATGTATAACAAACATAATGATGTAATATTGCAATCACTGACAATCATAACGACATCCAATTCTGTAAAATCACTATTTACCAATATCAGACGCTCACCAATATTTGTACAGTTGTCATTATCACCCCCCCCCTCCACCCCCCCCAGATTCCTAGCATGGCGATCTACCATTCAGTTGTTGGCTACCTATAGCCTATATTATATTGTTTGGTCTTTGTAATTATAATATTTTTACGTTTACATACTAGTTTTAGTTTAGACACATCTGTGATACTCTAGAGTTTTTACAGTCCTTTGCTGACTGATTATTTCACAACTTATATTTATTGTATATGTGATATTTTTCTCGTCACTATATGGCTGATATACTGCCTAGTCTATCTCACCCACTCAGTCATTATCAAACCCTCGTCGCGGACAATGAATAATATCTATTAACGTTCATCGGTTGTATGTGTATGTGTGTCTCCCTCACCCATATATATGTATATGTGTATACGTGTGTGTGTGTTTCTGTGTGTTTGTTTATAAAGTATATAGTACATATAAATATATATATCATATGTCAGTATATTTGTTGCCATGTATATGAAGTAAAATGTTATCAATGTCAGCTGTACACTGAAATGCTCGGCATTGGTATTCACTGGTCACAATCACGTGTTAAAAATTACCCCGTGTTTAAGCGTTGAATGATATTTCTTATCAAATGTCTTTCTTAATTTAAATTACTGTAATATAATAATGTTTTCAAATGTTGAGATGATTTCGATTTTCTAATTGGCTTAGTACCCAAGGTCATTCTTTTTATTACTTTCTATGACTTCGCGGAGTGCTTTCGCACTTTCCCAAGTTCAGGTGTCCTCAATAAAGCTTATGTCAGTGGCCGGAGCTCGAGGTAGAGCTGGGAATGCTTTGTGACCTTGGTGACTTTCAGTTGTACTATTCAAATATTATTTTTTCCCTTGATGCCCAACAATATCTATCTCTGATTAACCTCTGATATTGACCGTGTGTCCTTGATGGCCAGTATTCGCAACTACAACTCCCTTACGTCATAAGATAACACAGTTTGGGGGTTTTGGGGGGTGGGTGGATGATGTTAATCCAGCTGGGGTCCTCGTGGTCCCTAGTATGGAGATCTACCTTCAGTTGTTAGCAATCTACATGTTTTCATATTGTGTTGTATTCTGTAGCTAACATATTTCAGATTTGCATACTAGTTTACATTCATGACTGTGATAATCTAGTTGCTTTTACTGCCCTTCGTTGACAGGCTTTTCATAATTTACATGTATTTATGGTGAATTTTAAAATTGTTTTAGTCACGATATGGCTGAAATATTGCCGATGTGGCTGTACATCTTAACTCACTCACTCATTGTACGAGTTATTGTTGTTGTTTACAGGGTTGTGTTTGCTGGTTCAAGGGCTGGCCATATGCCCCCTGATCCTCGGCATGATTCACCCAAAGTACCTCACACCATGGCCTGCCACTTTTGTACTGGTAAATACATATGGTAATACAAAATCACTAATTGATGTGTGGACATATTTCATATACTCATCTGCCCGTGAAACTCCTGTTCACAATTTGTTTTCAGCAACCCCTGTATTTCTTCAGAGTCGACTAACGGAATCAGGCCGTTGATTTGGCTGATGCATGCCACTGCATTCCAGTAACGTATGTCAATGCTCATGCTGTCTGACAATGGATTGAATGGTCCAGATTTGTTCATTTACAAACGGCCGTCATATAGCGAGGGTGTGGCGTTAAACAACAATAAAACAAAAGAAATCATATCTCATTACGATAACGTTTGTTGCTTTGTCCTCCAAGCTGATGAAAACTTTGCTTCAGGCAAGTGACATGCTTTCCCCGAGTCTGAAAATATACAAAGAGTATTATTCCATCTTCATTTTACACAGCTTTCCTGGGGGCTGATCGTGTTGTTCACAGGCGATTTAACAACCATGATGGCCTACATCGGCTTCTTCAGCAACATGGCAGGCACCGTCGTCGTCATGCTGCTTCTGTACCTACGAGTGAAGAAACCAAGCGTTAACAGACCGTACAAGGTAACCGCTCGTTGTTGTTCGGGACAGTCTCGATATGCTCACGATGTGCAGTGATATACAATGTTCAGTCAGGCAGCTTGGAGTGAGTAAACATGTGTGGTATTCCAGCAGTAGCAGGATTGGGGATACTAGAAATGTGTTTCACATATCGTAGCCATAAAGGGAGTAGAAGCCTTCGGCATGACGAGCGAACACTGTGACCAGCATACTCATCCGCCACCAGCTGCAAAGGTAAGACGGGTTTTTTCATATCGAAAAGGCATGTTTACACACACACACGCACGCGCGCGCACGCACGCACGCGCGCACACGCACACACACACACACACACACACACACACACACACACACACACACACACACATTATCGTCTTTATTATGAGGAACTCAACGTTTCGGAGTATATGTGAAAAAAGTATGAATGAATCACTGAAAATCAGTGATGACCCCAGGTGTTCGTGAAAAGGGTGAACATGCCCTGCTCTACCAGGAACACCAGCAATCACCAACTTCGCCTAACAATATTGGTATAAAGTGTCCACCATCTTACACCTATGTATTTGACCAGGCCGTCAAAGAGCAGCCTGACCACGCAGATGCAATACAAGGTATAGATATATTATGCTGCAATCAACAGATGAATGGTTCCAGTCCCAGACTAACCTCCCTTAACCCCACGGAATGTGTGTGTGTGAGTACAGACGTACTTGAGAGAGGGCACATCCTATATTCATCACATTAATGACACTTAATACCAACTGTGACAACAAACAGTATAGCCCAGGCTTGTCTTCATGTCCGAGCTGGGTCTATATGTTCCCTGGCCCCACCTGTACCCAAAGTCTCTTCTATGTCCTTACTCCCTGTGATATGATGGTCGCCCTTCTGATCACTTCGTCCATAGAATATGTGTTTGAGGGGAGGGCAGGTGGACGAGGGGGGCAGAGGTAGGGGGAGGGAAAGGGGGAGGACGGACGGAGATGAAACCAAACTCCTACTACCAACAGGATATGAACTTTGTATTGTAAATGTGGTTAAACATATGTTCCCTGCATGACTCGGTGCCAGCAATGAGCATGCTCTGGGAACGTAAATAAAGTGTACAATATATACTACCCATCAAAAGTTTAGACTCACTGATAGCACTTACTATATGTTATGCATATATATATGGTTACATCGAAGATGAAAATCTTCACTAACAGATGAAGTGCACGAAGATCATGCATCAAATTGCTGTAAAGCTTGTACAAATATCGTGCATGTGAACAGCTGCATTTTGGTGAAAAGTTTCGTTAAGAATTTACCAATTTTTACGGAGTTTCATCATGTACTGAAATCATGACATTAATCTTTTCAACGTTACGAATTTGTTTTACAATACATCAGTTCGTCTGTAAACAGTACCTCTAAACGGTATGGAATATTTTGCAAAATCTAGTTTAGAACACTTAACCTACAAATCATAAATACAGTTTCTCCCTAAAACTCATTCTATAGACTGCTGCGTGTAAATATTTCTGTAGTTTCACAGTGTTATGTGTACAGGTTGATCTGTTCCTGTAGTTTCACAGTGTTCTGTGTACAGGTTGATCTGTTCCTGTAGTTTCACAGTGTTATGTGTACAGGTTGATCTGTTCCTGTAGTTTCACAGTGTTATGTGTACAGGTTGATCTGTTCCTGTAGTTTCACAGTGTTCTGTGTACAGGTTGATCTGTTCCTGTAGTTTCACAGTGTTATGTGTACAGGTTGATCTGTTCCTGTAGTTTCACAGTGTTATGTGTACAGGTTGATCTGTTCCTGTAGTTTCACAGTGTTCTGTGTACAGGTTGATCTGTTCCTGTAGTTTCACAGTGTTATGTGTACAGGTTGATCTGTTCCTGTAGTTTCACAGTGTTCTGTGTACAGGTTGATCTGTTCCTGCAGTTTCACAGTGTTCTGTGTACAGGTTGATCTGTTCCTGTAGTTTCACAGTGTTCTGTGTACAGGTTGATCTGTTCCTGCAGTTTCACAGTGTTATGTGTACAGGTTGATCTGTTCCAGACAATGCTGTGTGTGCCTATTGCCCAGCTGATGATCAACCTGGCTGTACTGGTGATGGCCACCTATCAGCGTCCACATCAGATGGGCTTCGCACTTGCCATCCTGGCGGCTGGTGTCCCACTGTACTGGGTCGGAGTGCTGTGGAAGAACAAACCAAAAGAGTTCACCAACATTGTCGGTAAGCGAAGAGCACCGCCAGGTTCCAGTGGTAAGAGGCCATTGCAACATGGAGATCAGGTACTTATGTCCCAGGAATTACAAGTCATAGGTTCGAGCCCCGAGTTATCGTCCTTGCTTTGTCAGCAACACAAGCGTGCCGTGCGTTGATGAAACACATGGTTTGAAGGCCTAATTGTCTGGTTCATACCGCTGTCATATAGCTGAAATATTGCTGAGTACGACATAACAACCAAACAGATATTCTATTAATGGCAGAAATGTAGCCAACATTGTTGAGTGAAATATGTTATATATGTTTTTTTTATGGGACGTATTAATTTGATCCTTCCAGAGATCCTCACAGTGTTAGCTCAGAAGGTTCTGGTGGTGGTAAAGGCGCGAAACGGAGAACACTCGGCGGGTAAAGGCGCCAAAGAATGACAGCAGCTTCCAGTTTAATCGTGGAATACATGAATTTATATGGTGATAAAAGATGATGGCACAGACTATTGGTACTTTTTGCTATCATCCTCGAGTATCCAGTGCGTCTTTCTCTTTGGGGGGCGGTGGGGTAGCCTAGTGGTTAAAGCGTTCACTCGTCACGCTGAATACCCGGGTTCGATTCCCCACATGGGTACAATGTGTGAAGCCTTGTTTACTGTCTGTGATTGAGTCATGGCTATTTATCGTGACAGAATGGGTATATAACACTCTGGATATAACGATGTTATTCGGCCAAATGAGTAAAGAAAATACATTTGAAAGTCTGCTGTTATTTTATATCTATATTTACCAGCCGTGACCAGAAGGACAATCTTCATGTGTGAGTCAGAATATCAGTGGAACACGAGTATCGCATGTCGGCACTACACACTTCTCGCTGCTTCATCTTCGACCGTCACACATGTGATTCAATATGACCCGTAGCACAGCAGACCTTCAGTATTAGAGAGCACATGATACGAAGCATTTTATAGACATATTACTCTCTGCATCGAATATTTCAGCATGGACCAAACTTCCAGTGGAAGAGTCGCTAATAAACACTGTCAGGCTTGGAATACGATTTCTTTGATAACAGTAGAATCTCGCACTTCGAGGAAAAGATAGTGCCTTGGAAACAACAAAACACAAACTTATACATTGGACTAGAGGTACAGAACATAGCCAGTGTGACTCTGGTTATGTGACGCCACGGCTTACTTGTACACAAACGAGTTTTCAGATGGTATGGACGCAGGTACATACATAAATGCATGCATATTTACACCTTTGTACATACATACATACATACATACATACATACATACATACAGACATACAGACATACATACATACATACATACATACATACATACATACATACATACATACATACATACATACATACATACAAATTTGACTTGTGTTCACCTCCACAGCTATGACTTCAGTATCCTATACCATACAACCTGAGTCATTTTGCGTGTCTTCCTCATTGAATTATCGAAGAGTGGTCTGTATAACGCCAGAACTTAACTCGTCTTGTTTATTGTCAATGTAATGAAGAAAGATGCTTATTTTCTGCTAAAAAGGACATTTACTAAAAATACACATTGCCATAGATTTCCCACAGAGTACCGAAGAAGAAATTGTGTGCTACAAACTTGCAAATTCTAAATATGTACACCGAAGTGGTTTCCGATTGATGACATCCGGCTAACCGTCTATCTGGAAGAGGATCTAAATTTAATGTTGTGTCATGTGGTAATGAGTAAATGGCCCGTGGTAACTGTGGCAACTGTGGCGTAGTGTATCGATGATGGAACTGAGCGTCTGCAAAGGTCGATAGTGAAGAAAGTTTGTTTAAAGTTTTTGTTTCGCAATGCAAACTCAAATGATGCTGTTGGTGTTGCTGTGTGACTTCAATAGAATTAACAAAGTCAAAGGTAAGTGTTTCAAATTGTTTGCTTTCATCTTGGCCTATTGTTTAACAAATCACGTTTCGATGAGATCTTGCAAGTCATATCCACTTCTCAAACATAAAATAAGACATGGATCTGAGAAGGCAAACGTATTTGACATGCACATGCTCTCATGTATCTCACAAGACACGCTCATTTCTCATATACATGCTCACACATACAGTTCACAAGGAACATTATGTATGTCTTACAAGGGGGATAGGGTAGCACGCTCATTTGTCATATACATGCTCACACATACAGTTCACAAGGAACATTCTGTATATGTCTTACAAGGGCGATAGGGTAGCACGCTTATTTGTCATATACATGCTCACACATACAGTTCACAAGGAACATTATGTATGTCTTACAAGGGGATAGGGTAGCACGCTCATTTGTCATATACATGCTCACACATACAGTTCACAAGGAACATTCTGTATATGTCTTACAAGGGCGATAGGGTAGCACGCTTATTTGTCATATACATGCTCACACATACAGTTCACAAGGAACATTATGTATAGCACGCTTATTTGTCTTACATATAGGTTCGATAGGGTAGCACGCTTATTTGTCATATACATGCTCACACATACAGTTCACAAGGAACATTCTGTATATGTCTTACAAGGGCGATAGAGTAGCACGCTTATTTGTCATATACATGCTCACACATACAGTTCACAAGGAACATTCTGTATATGTCTTACAAGGGCGATAGAGTAGCACGCTTATTATACAGCTTGGAACATTATGTATGTCTTATAGAGTAGCATTATTTGTCATATACATGCTCACACATACAGTTCACAAGGAACATTCTGTATATGTCTTACAAGGGCGATAGGGTAGCACGCTTATTTGTCATATACATGCTCACACATACAGTTCACAAGGAACATTCTGTATATGTCTTACAAGGGCGATAGGGTAGCACGCTTATTTGTCATATACATGCTCACACATACAGTTCACAAGGAACATTATGTATGTCTTACAAGGGCGATAGGGTAGCACGCTTATTTGTCATATACATGCTCACACATACAGTTCACAAGGAACATTCTGTATATGTCTTACAAGGGCGATAGGGTAGCACGCTTATTTGTCATATACATGCTCCCACATACAGTTCACAAGGAACATTATTTGTCTTATACATTTGTCTCATGCTCACACATACAGTTCACAAGGAACATTCTGTATATGTCTTACAAGGGCGATAGGGTAGCACGCTTATTTGTCATATACATGCTCACACATACAGTTCACAAGGAACATTCTGTATATGTCTTACAAGGGCGACAGGGTAGCCTTGTGGGTAAAGTGTTCACCCTTCACGACGTAGACCCGGGTTGGACTTCCTACATGGGAACAATGTGAAGCCCGCCGTGGTATTGTTTTATTATTGCTCAATGCGGCGTAACTGATATGTTCAGACTGATTTGATTTAAACATATTTTATTAACAAATGTGAAAGGGATTGGGGGTAAGTTATCCAACTTAAAATACAAGCTCCCTCGTATTTACGAACATGCATTTTCAATTTTATACATCTTGAGAAGAAAGACAACAGAGTGAGTGAGTGAGTTAACATTTATAGTCACATCGGCAATATTTCATCCATACCGCGACTAAAACTATACTACCCATCAAAAGTTTAGACTCACTCAAAGCACTCACTATATGTTATGTATATATATGTGGTTACTTCGAAGATGAATTTCTCCATTAACTTGGGGTAACCAACTGAAAACCTTATGCAGATCAATTGCACGAGCATCATGCATCAAATTGCTAAAAAACACGTGCAAATATCGTGCATGTGAACAGCTGCGTTTTGGTATAAAGTTTTGTTAAGAATTTGCCAATTTTCACTCTGTTTCATTATTTATTGAACTCATGATAATACACTATCCAAAGTTACGAATTTGTTTTACAATACATCAGTTCATGTGTAAACAGTACCATTAAACTGTATAGAATATTTTGCATAATCTAGTTTAGATCGGTTGACTGAAGTATGTGGCTACATGTACACTAGTGGGTCTAAACGTTTGATGGGGAGCATAGTTCTAAATTCTTAAAAATCCATATGATTTATAAAACCCTGTCAACGAAGGACGGTAAAATTACAAGGTTATCACATATGTGTTAAACTAGATCAAGGAGAATTAAAACAATACACTAACACTTAATGACACGAGATGAAACTTGACAAGATGTCGCCAGCAACGGTTGTTAGGCCACCAGACTAGAGACCGGGGGATACTTCTGCTTCCTGCACGGTTCTCTTGCTGGATTTATACCATCCCTTCAGCTGTCAGGGATTGTAGGTAATGTTAGCCATTTATCTTAAAAGTACAAACATTCTACGATTAAAAACGGTGGTAGCTATGAAGAGTCTGTGACTGAAAGTGGGCTTACATAGAAAGAGGATAGAGAAAGTATAGGAAGTTAAAGAGAGAAGAGAGACAGGGACACAACTTATGTGATCACTCAAAACGTTTTGATCGACAAATAAAAGTTTGCACATACAAACGTATTCATTCTGTTTAATAGTCATATCTTGACTGCCAAGTAACATTAATGACAATGTGACAGGCGATTCAAGTTTTACAGTACTTCTCAAATTTATCAATTATGTCTCGCTTTGAATGTTGTACAGGTTACATTCTAATAGGAAGTGATGTATATTTTCACGGACATGTTCAGACTTTATACAGATGTTAAACTTTTCTAAATACTGCGTAACATAATCGGAATAGTGTGCTTTTCTTCAAACCTATAGTGCACATAATATGAATTGAATCCAATCTCATACAAGTATGGTATTTCATATTTTATAGAAAACATATGCGAATGTGATTTACACAGTCGAAGATGTACGATAGCTCTGTGGAAGAACACTTGTCTTAATTCATATATGTGTTTCAGGCATATGGCAGGCGATTTGTAATGAAATGATGAAAATATATAGGGTACATACCGTTACATATGACTTCGTGTATGACTTAATGGTTTTCAGACACAATATTTCAATTATACTGTCACGACCTGAAAATAACCGAACCGTCAATCCGGGGCATGAAAACAGTTCGACACCCAGTCTGCTGACACCCTCTCCGATCACCCTGTCCCTATTTGATTCAGATCTCACGTTGCCGGACACCCCTTTAGGTGTATCAAACACTACTGAGTTACATTGGATGTATCACACTCTGACAATGAGGATTTTCATGTTATAGCTAAAAGCCCTGAAATGTAATCATTACATGGTAAAGTGCAGATGTAGTTGTTGTCGAGACTTCGGGAGTTATGTTAGTACAATACACTGCACGATCATGTGACACGTTAGAAGGAAAGACAAATTAAGACGCAATTTCAATAATGAGATAACCGAACTTATGCTACAGAAAAACAGATATGTTAATATTTCATATTTATCACACATGTACATACACTAAGCGTCATTAATCTAGGGTCAAACGATATATAGCACATGTAAAGAAAAGCTTCTCAGAAATAATAGAACTAAGAGTGCCATCATTATGTTTAATGTGTTGACAAATGTGACTCGTCGTTACATACAGACAAAAAGTTCAAACAGCACCAGCAAATATCAGCTGTATAGACCAACGGTCTGATGTGTTTTTCCATACTGTTAAGAAAGTTTGTAAAACATTTCAGTTGTATATATTTCAAACAAAAACGAAGTTTCTACAACTTTTAAGAGTGAGTGGGTTAATATTTAGCGTCACATCGGCAATACTTCAGCCGTATCGTGACGAGAACAATTTAATTTATATCAATATTAAAATCAATAATTTAGAACTTAAAAACCTGTTATCGAAGGGCAGAAAAAATACTAGAGTATCACATATATAAATTTAAAACTAGTACGCTGTCGTAACATTAAATCACTATAGACAGTACAAAATAAAAACGGGCTATAGATCACCAACAACTGAAGGTAGATCACCATACTAGGGTCCATGGGGACTTACAGTACTTTTGCTACCTGCATGGACCCCAGCTGGATTTACACCATCCCTTCAGCCACTGGCGGTTGTGCTGAGTTACAACTTTTAAGAAATGGTGTTACCAACAGCTAACCCTTCATTAATCTATATAACCAGTGTAATGGTGACGGCGAGGATGTCGGGGACTATAGAGTGGCAGGACCAGGACGTTGTGCTGAGTGTCGGGATGAGTCAGGGCAGTCGGGGAAAATGAATAACCACATCAAACACAGTCATGCAGTGTTTGGTACAAGGAAACATCATACAATGTGCAAAGTCATATTCCTGCCTCGCCTACACACTAGTTCCCTGAAAAGCTGTTGTTTTACATTGTTTCCCTTTGTTTCACGTCAACATTTACACTTCGTTAAAAAAGACACAGACCATTGTTAGATGCTCGTGGTTGATTGCTGAAGCCGATGTCTATTTTGGAAATTACAGAATATGTGAATCAATCACCCGTGGCAACTATACGTACTTTCTATTCAGGTTCTTTAATGACTCGCCATGTTCTGGGCTGGTGTAACAAATAAGAACGTTTTCAGCTGACGTTTCTGTACACGTTTCTCTAAGACATTAGACATTTTCTTTTAGGCTCGGTCGTCCTGAAGAGTGTCCCACCAACAGCCGCTGATGGTGAACTGTTGACCCTGGTCTGCAGCAAATCGACACCAGACCACAGCCATAGAGATGTGTCCTGGTATCGCGATGGTGCCAAGGTCTTTGTGACAAAAAGGTCATCCGCTATATATAACATTGACTCCAGTGTCCGGAACAGCTACCGGTCAGGACGGATCAATGTCCACTGTGATGCCCTCCAACACAACGTGACCATCAGGATCAACTCCACTATAGATAACGGTACCACCTGGTGCTGCAGGGACGCAACGACGAGCAACACAGTGATGATAAGTGAGTACTGGAGTAAGTAAATTAGTACTAACTGTTTTATATTGGTGAAGCATCACGAGACATTTACGAAGCTTGACTGACAGGTCCTGAGTCTCACATAGGATAATTTGCATGAGACTGATATCTTTTGCTGTGGATATAACACAATGTCGTAGAGGTATAAATAGACAAGAGGCAAGTGAGCAAATCATTTCGCTTACAGGTCTGTCTGTGAACAGGTACTCGCAGGTAAAGACTAAACACATACATTAAAGGATAAATGAGCACAAAAGGGAGAACCAAACTCACATGGTCAGTTTAAGCGATAAGGAGGGAAAGTCCAGAGAATTCGTATTGCTTGTCCAGTGGTCATTCCAGGGAAAGGATGCAGTCCACTTTCCCAGACATTTGCTAGTGAAGAAAGTATCAGCTCGTTACGTTCTAACGATTTTGACATCTAATGAAAACCATTCACGTGAAAATAAGTTCCGTTTGAAACTGACCCAGAGAGTTAAAACACAGCAAACGGGTCAAGGATTATATTTGAGGATCAGAACATTTGAATCACCGCTCGTGGAGTTGCTGATTTCCATGCTACATATTTTGCTAACTTAAGTCAGGCAGTAAAATAATGAATATGTCTCATATAGGTTATTCTATAACGTTTAATGTTTAAATCCACCCCGTATGCCCTTGGTAAGTGTTTCTGATTGCAAACAGCATACCCGTTACATATTTGTGGCATAAATCAGGTTTTAAAACAAATGGAAAAATGTGTAATAGGTCATTGATATAATACTGCAGTTGGTTCATTTGTGGATGTCACAGGTGACCAAATCGGTGAACAGTATTACGTCACACGGTGTACATACTTGAAAGGGAATGGACGTGCACTCCCCTCAATATACCTAATGGCATAAAATGGATAGGTTGTTCATTCCAACAAATGAAAAGCGCAGTAAACGCCAACATTTACCTAAGTACTTGTTCACAAGAAACCATCACCTAAAGCTGTCAGTAATGTTTCTTGTCATTCCCACCTCACACGCGCCATGAATTTCCTTTCCGACGTGATGTATTAAAATGCTGCTGATGTTAGAGATTCCCGACTCTGGGAAGCATATGCCCTCCTAACAAATTACACTATTACCATTGGACACTGATAAAAAAGTGGTCTTTATCTTCAAATATTATACATTTGTTTGTGAAGAAAGGCGACTATGTCTTTATTCTAAACCTTTTAGAACGTGACCTTAGTTTTAAAATTGCTTAAACTACGATGCACAATAAGTGAAATAGATTTTTAGAATATTTTGTTTGGTCCTATGTATTTCTTTAGCCTTCCCACTCTCTCATGTTGGTGAAACTGGAGATGACAAACACATAGAAGTACGAATGACAAGATAACTATACCACGTGAAAACCCTTCAGCCATTACCAAGCAACATAACGTGAACATTGAAGGTATGATACAGAGCATTAATAAAGAATATGTACATTCCACTAGATGTCGAGAGCAAGACATCTTGGACTACAACGACAAGGACGACAGTTATGTCATCATTAGCAACTACTGACACAACCAGCATTCAGACAGATAAACCAGGTACGTGGCATCCACCTCCATATTTGACATATACTACCAGTGATTTTGAAGATGTGTCCACTTTCGCAAGAATGTGTAGATATCTGTAGAGATTGTAGCACAGATGTGTGACTAAAGACAATGTACAATGTGTGTACATGTCTCAGACTGTAGCACAGATGTATGACTAAAGACAACGTACAATGTGTGTACATGTCTCAGACTGTAGCACAGATGTATGACTAAAGACAACGTACAATGTGTGTACATGTCTCAGATTGTATCACAGATGTATGACTAAAGACAACGTACAATGTGTGTACATGTCTCAGACTGTAGCACAGATGTGTGACTAAAGACAACGTACAATGTGTGTACATGTCTCAGACTGTAGCACAGATGTAGGACTAAAGACAACGTACAATGTGTGTACATGTCTCAGATTGTATCACAGATGTAGGACTAAAGACAACGTACAATGTGTGTACATGTCTCAGACTGTATCACAGATGTAGGACTAAAGACAACGTACAATGTGTGTACATGTCTCCGACTGTATCACAGATGTGTGACTAAAGACAACGTACAATGTGTGTACATGTCTCAGATTGTATCACAGATGTATGACTAAAGACAACGTACAATGTGTGTAGATGTCTCAGACTGTAGCACAGATGTAGGACTAAAGACAACGTACAATGTGTGTACATGTCTCAGATTGTATCACAGATGTATGACTAAAGACAACGTACAATGTGTGTACATGTCTCAGATTGTATCACAGATGTATGACTAAAGACAACGTACAATGTGTGTACATGTCTCAGACTGTATCACAGATGTATGACTAAAGACAACGTACAATGTGTGTACATGTCTCAGACTGTAGCACAGATGTAGGACTAAAGACAACGTACAATGTGTGTACATGTCTCAGACTGTAGCACAGATGTATGACTAAAGACAACGTACAATGTGTGTACATGTCTCAGACTGTAGCACAGATGTGTGACTAAAGACAACGTACAATGTGTGTACATGTCTCAGACTGTATCACAGATATGTGACTAAAGACAACGTACAATGTGTGTACATGTCTCAGATTGTATCACAGATGTATGACTAAAGACAACGTACAATGTGTGTACATGTCTCAGACTGTAGCACAGATATGTGACTAAAGACAACGTACAATGTGTGTACATATCTCAGATTGTAGCACAGATGTATGACTAAAGACAACGTACAATGTGTATAGTTTCTCAGATGATATTCCTAGAACCAAATATGTCTGACATTGATATCATCTTCACAGACTGCGACGAGTTACGTGATGTCCTGTACCTCGTGGCTACAGGTGTAGGGGGCGTTGTGTTTGGCAGCATCGTGTGTGTCGCCATCTTCATCACATGGTTTAAAAAGTGCAGGAAAAGAGGTGAGGGTTATTTTTCAGCAAACTAAATGTTTAGTTAATACTTGTCAGCTAGAAAAACATTTTGTAATAAGTTTTATTTAAATCAAGACCAATAATGTCTAATGGCGGTACTAAAACGTCACTCAAACGCAACATCATTTTTAAAGGTCTCAGGTTGCAGAGGAAGGGCGGAAGGAGCAAGAGTAACCTGGTTATCCTTCCTGAATACATTTTTTGCTTACTGTCTGAGCTTTTAGAATCTTTTCCAATTCATCTGTTGATTTTCAATAACTGATTTACTCCGGATGTATTAGACTGTTATTTCTGAAATTGAGAATCTCCAAAAAGTACAAAAAGTGGACCATTGTTCTATATATCGCTATATAAAGACGCATCGATCATCTTCCAGATGCCAACTTGTACGACTCTACATATCCACGTGAAGACATGGGGCACCTGTATTGTCCAGTTCAGGCTGGGACTGAGGCACCGAACTACGTCAATACAGAGGCTGCCAACGTTACCAGCGACGTGGCTGCTGATGCTGGAGATACACATTACTACAGCTTTGTGGGGACCAAGGGTGCTAGCAGGGACCCTCTTCTCAACTAAAACATGGACTATATGCCACCACATAACCCTGCTCTCATAATATCACATTCTATTTTTGCTTGTTCATTTCAGTTTAGTCATGTTTAGAATTGTGCATTGCTTTTCTATTTGAAGCTGGTTTCAACGCCTAGGCTTCAAATTAACCTTGACCAGAATGTGCACAATGCAAAATTCTAGTGAATAAATTTATTGTAGGTGGTGTACTCAAATGGACGAGCTTCGTGATACCACAAACAGCTGAATAAGGAAACTCTTGACCGAATAGATATAGTTTTGAGATTGAAGAAGCTATGTGAATGTGGTGAGACATAGGGTAGGACGTCCCTAGATACTCCTGACTGAATGTCCATATATCAGGTGTGATAACGCCCAGGACTCCGCGAAGTTATAACACAACTACATTCAAGTACACATAGCTGTACACATAGCTGTACAAGAGACACAAATTGATAACACATCAAATACTAATGGAAACCAAAACAGGTAGTCACGGTTAACATTGTCAACACATAATGTTTTATACAACTTGTGGATGTTTACCGAAAACTGAATAATATCCATGTAGCATCATACGTTTAGATTTATTCTGGTTACCATGACACCCCGTGCATTGTAGGCGTGGTAGTCATTAGGCAAATAAGACAATATAGTAGTTTTCGCAGAATAAGAGCGGGCCATTTGAGAATCTATCCCTGAAACTGACCCGGTCTCACAAATAACACACCCAGAATCAAAGGAAGCATTTTCAAGATCAATTTGTTACATACATTAATAAAAGGCAAATACGCCTTTTGTGAAGTTATTCCTTTGACCTGATGTAAGGATCTTATTAAATCCATGGATGTGTTATGTTACATTTGTTATACCTTCCGTTGTGTCATGGTTTACAAACTGATCATATTCTACGTGTAAAGCAGGAAACACATATTGCAAATAACAACCACTACCGTAATCATAAGAAATGTTCCAGGAGGAAAGTACCATTCCGACTGTATCATGAACACGTATTCACGAATAAATAGCAATCACTGATGAGCGGATCCTGCTCCTGGTGTCATTGATGGAACAGTTGCCAGGTGTAATATATCAGTTGTAATAAATATTTGGTGTCACAGACTGACCTGAAATAATCCTGTTGCCCACATGGTAACACCAGTGACTATTCAGAGATACATCGTTCTCAATACTCGGGATCAGATTGTGTGTGTACATGTGTCATGTTGCGGGCCACGGGGACACATAGACAGATGATGATGATACTTGGAAACCACCAAATTAATCCCTGGTGCTGATGTTTTACTTTCACACAACAGATCTAACCAGACTGAGCAATCATATCTGTGGACAACACACACTTGACGTTTAGAGAAACGTCTGGTAAGTTGTACCGACCTTGTCACAGGAGTCACCTGTTTCAGTTATGTCACAAAAGAGTAACAATAATTTTACCGGACATTTCTGAAGGCAATAGAAATACGTATTCAACAATACAGATGGATCAGCGTATGTTGAAATTTGATCGCACGAATTGGGAGAATTTGGGGACTAACTTGACTTTAGGCATGTTGTTGAACAAAACATTATCCTTTTGTATTGAATATGGTTGTGTTTGAACAACATTGGCAAAATGAATACTTGTTAGATGCTTATGTCTGTCATTACTGGTTCGAAAATAAACATGAATATCACGATGGTTTGATATGTATATGTACATAAAATGTTTTCAACTTTGAATAAAAGTGATATATCGTCAATTTAAACGTTGTTTGTGAATACTAGGAATGCTACTGATCACATCACTCTTGTTGAGCGGTATATCATATAGTCTTGCTCGTAGAAGTTATTGTCATGAGTGCATATGTTAAATATAAACAATATTCATGGAACATTTCAAATGACGTCATATCGCGGATAACGTTGACATTCGTTTCGCAATAGAAACAAAACTGAAACATTTACACATGTATCATATTTGTCAGTACATGTCAGTATACTCACGGAAACGAACAAAAATTAAATGGAAAATACCATATCACATGTTTTACTCTCCGAGGACTACAAAGAGAAATGCAAGGAAACAGATAACTTTTTGTTTACAGTTAGCTAAATTGCTCTTAAAATCTACCTTTGTATATAATGCAATATAGCAGTAAACATTGACTTATTCTTTATTTAATAAACCTGTACCGACAGAATCTGTTTTTCCCTGTTTTTCAGAATCTGTTTTCTCGTTCAGTACGTTTATACACAGTATTGTAACAGTGATTGAAGTGGCAAATATAGCACGTTTGAAAGAGGCGACTAGCGTGGTCAGGCGGTCAGGCTCGCCGTCTTGGTTGATACGTGTCATCGTATCAATATTGCAAAGATGGATGCTCATGATATCAATCACTGGGTTGCTTGGTCCAGACACGATTATTTACAGACCGAAACATTACCCCACGTGGTGTTAAACAGAGATTCTGATGATACGTAACCCAGATAATATTCACCACAGAAGACTCAGGTATGATTACCTTATATAATAAACACAACGATCGTATATGAAATGCTCGGGTTAGAATTGGTCTTCAGTAACCCATGCTTGTCGAAAGAGGCGACTAACGGGATCGGGTGGTCAGGCTCGCTGACTTGGTTGACACATGCCATCCTATTTAAAATGCATAGATCGATTCTCATGCTGTTGATCACTGAATTGTCTGGCCCAGACTCGAATATTTAGACAACCGCCGGGTGCGGCGTTAAACAACAAACCGACCAACCAACGTGTATGAAATATCAGCTTTTTCGCATGTAGAACCTCACTAATGTTTCTATAACTTCGTTTACGACGGGTGGATACACCCGATATATACATCTGGCACACCATACTGACACTTGAGTGAGTGAGTTAATATTTAACGTCACATCGGCAATATTTCAGCCATATCGTGACGAAAACATTTTACATTGTAATGGAATATGTATATATTATAAAACCTGTCATCGAAGGACAGTAAAACAACTAGAATATCACAATTAGATTTAAAACTAGTGTGGAAGGTTAAAACTAATAGCACTATTAGGACAATACAAGATAAAAACAGGCTATAGATCGCCAACAACTGAAGGTCGATCACCATACTAGGGACCATGGGGACTTACAGTACCTTGGCTACCTGCATGGACCCTAGTTGGATTTACACCATCCCTTCAGCTGCTGGCGATTGTAAGAAATGTTAGCTACAATTAAAATGACAAAATGCTACGTTTAAAAATCCTGGTAAGTTTAAATTGACTTTCGAAGTTTTGGGACTTACGTACCCTCCTCAGGGGACAATATTTTTACGATACTTCAACCCCCTTGAGAGTACAGCCACTAACAATCTAAGTTACTAATCAAACTACCAATTATTAAAACACAGCTATATACAGAACATATTAATCAAAATTCATTAATGAAATCAATTTCTTTAAAACCAAGAATTAAATGAAGATGAACAGAGTTAAAAAGATCCTTAACAGTTTTAACATTGAATATTTATCCCTTTATGATGGAGACTTCAACACAGTCAAGCAGGAGATGCTTGACTGTGACTCTCTCATCACAAGGGATACAAAACGGAGGATCTTCACCATTTAACAAATATTTGTGAGTGTACCTTGTATGGCCAATACGACATCGTCGCATGATGACCTCTTCAAATCTGGACTGACAGCCCAAGTAAGTGTAACCGATATAAGGTTTTATTTCATGTAATTTATTTATACCTACTTGGGTGTCCCACTTCTTTGCATCAGATCACGGATGTAAGTTCTAATGCCAGCTTTATAATCAGAATATGGAATAAGAAGTGGTGTCACAGATTTGTTGAGCGCTGCCTTGGCAGCAAGATCAGCCATTGTGTTCCCAGAAATGCCAACGTGGCTGGGTAACCAACAAAAGACGATGTCGCATTGGCTAGTAGCAAGATCATTATATAATTCGATTATTTCAATTAAAAGTGGATGTTTGCAAGAGAGATTTTAATCGCCTGAAGGCAAGAAAGAGAGTCAGAAAATATTATATATTGTTTATGTTTGGGATGTCTTTCAATATATTTAAGAGCTGTGAAGATGGCGTTTGCTTCCAGCTGTAAATATAGAGCTGTTATCAGGTATTCGAGAAGATATTGTTCTGATCCAATGACAGTGGCACATGCCACCGCGCCACCATCCTTGGACCCATCTGTAAATAAGGATTTGTATGTATTATAGTTATTCTTTAATTGATTATATTCTTGTTTATACTGTAATTCGTTTGTTTCTGATTTTTAAACTTTGTCAGTGTTAGGTCAACTTGTGGCCTCACCAATTGCCAAGGAGGAGAAGAAAGAAGACGGAAGGAGATATATTCTCCAACTCAATGCCAGCAGCAGAAATATATTGTTGGATTCTTATCCCTAGAGGTGGAACAAGTGAAGGTTTTTATCATACAAGTCCTCATAAAGAGGATTAAAAACGCAAGTGTGAGCAGGATTGATTCATTAGAATATAACTTTGTGATATATTGTAGGGACAATTTGATACGGCGAAGTTTTAAAGATGGCTCATCGGCCTCAACGTAGAGACTGTCAATGGGAGAGGTTCTGAAAGACCCAAGACAAAGTCTTAGACCCTGGTGATGGATAGAATCAAGTAGTTTGAGATTGCTTTTACAGGCCCCACCATATACGATAGAGCCGTAATCAAGTTTTGATCGGACCAGTGATCTATACAAATGAAGGAGGGTGGTTTGGTCCCCTCCCCACTTTGAACTGGAAACGACTTTCAACAAGTCGAGTGCTTTCAGGCATTTGGCTTTTAGATTTTTGATATGTGGCAGAAAGGTTAAATGCGAATCAAAGATGAGACCAAGGAATTTAGCTTCCTTGACAACTTTGATGGGTGTGCCATTTAGAGATAATTCAGGATCTTTATGGGGTTTGTATTTCCTACAAAAATGTAGACAGTTGGTTTTGGATTTCGAAAATTTAAACCCATTTTCAAGACACCATTTATGAATTTTGTTGAGACAAATTTGTAATTGTCTCTCAATAGTTCGCATGTTTTTACCACGGCAAGAAATATTAAAATCATCCACGAAAAGAGATCCATCGATTGAATCACTTAAAACCTTTGACAGACTATTTATTTTAATACTAAAGAGTGTGACAGATAAAATACTGCCTTGTGGGACACCCTGATCCTGATTGTAATGATCAGACAGGGTAGAACCCACTCGAACTTGAAATTGCCTGTCCGTTAAAAACTGTGATATAAAAAGAGGCAAACGGCCTCGCAATCCAAAATCGTGTAAATCTCTTTAAAATACCATGTTTCCATGTGGTGTCATATGCTTTTTCTAAATCGAAAAAGATCGACACTGCATGTTGTTTTTAATAATGGCATTTTTAATAAAGGATTCTAAACGCACTAAATGATCGATAGTACTTCTGTTTTACGAAAACCACATTGAATGTCTGTTATAAGGTTATTAGTTTCCAAGTACCACACAAGTCGATTATTTATCATGCGCTCCATGGTCTTGCAAACGCAGCTAGTTAATGAGATTGGTCGATAATTCGAAGGATCAGTATGATCACGTCCAGGTTTAGGGATGGGTACAATAATAGCATCGTGCCATGAAGAAGGAAATTGTCCAGAAGTCCAAATATCATCAAAAATGTTTAAAAGGGTTTCTAAGCATGAATCTGGTAGTAGTTTCAGGAGCTGATAATGTATGTTATCAGCACCTGTAGCCGTATCATGAGCTTGATCAAGAGCTGTATGAAGCTCATGAATAGAAAACAGTTCATTGTAATCTTCCCATTATCGGAAATGAAATTAATAGTTTTCTTTTCCTGTTGTTTTTATAATTTTGGAATTGAGGTAAATAATTGATGAGGAAGAGTGTTTGGCCAAAGTTTCTCCAAGTTTATTTGCAATATCAGATTGACTAGTTAATAATTCGTCTCCATCTTTAAGATGTTTAATGCTAGATTTAGAACCCTTACCTTTATTTTCTGGATCATATTCCATACTTTTGATATCGGCGTTCGTGAATTTATTTGTGATACATAATTTCGCCAGGATTGACGTTTATTTTGCTTGAAGGTACGCCGTGCCTTAGCATTTAAAATTTTAAATTTATTCAAATTATGGACCATAGGATGGCGACGGAAATAATTCTCAGCTTTCTTCCGTGCCTTCCTAGCCTGTTTGCACTCATTGTTGAACCATGGTTTTCGTATGTGTGGAATTGTAGAGGATTTGGGGATACACTCATCAGCAATATTAATTAGTTCATCAGAGAAATCCTTTATAGGATCAGTACATTCTATAAAAAGTTCGGGTTTAAGTCTGCTACAACACAGAGCTTGATACAAGGGCCAGTTAGCTTTTTTAAAGTTCCATCTCGAATATGGAGTAATATCAGTTGGGTTTAAAGGTTTTAGAATAGTAGGAAAATGGTCACTTCCACATAGGTCATCATGGACTGACCATTCAAATTCATTTAGTAATTCTGAATTCGTGATTGATAAGTCGAGAGCAGAATAGGTTCCTGTACCAGGGTGTAAATACGTGTTGGAACCATCATTATAAATACATAAGTCATTGTCTGAACAAAACTCCTCCAGTAGTTTACCTTTAGCGTTTGTATTGACACTACCCCAGAGTGGGTTGTGCCCATTTAAATCTCCCAGAATAACACAGGGCTTCGAGTTGGTCATATAGAGCTTGAAGATCAGCTTTG